TTATATGACACTTTAGTTGGGGAAATCTTTCTGGGGCTACAGCACCAGAAGGCACAGGGCAGGTGCAGTGGGAGGACAGTGGGCTCCCATCAAGCTATGGCCAGTCTGGCGCTATCATGATCTGTTCTGGCTATTGGCTGTTCTCACAGGGCTTCCCTTGTAAAAAGAGTTCCAAGGCTCTAAAAGTTTTGAGAACAGCTGGTATAAAAATTCTTTATGGCAGCATTTGTTTCTGAAATTCTCTATGGAACATCAGTTTTGAATTCCTTCAGTAAAGGCTAAGTAGCTATTCATAATTTTCTTCACGTGGCTATTAACACATTATATATCCATGTGGCATTTGGGGATAACTGGGTTTACCAGCAATCATCTGCATCTTGACTTTATATTTATAGAAGTTTGAGTAAGTGTTCCTGTCCCAACGTGACAGACTGACAGTTCCTCACAATCATGATGAGCTTAAAAAATTATTTTGAGGGCATATTTAAAAGGCTAACTTACTTGGCACCTGTATTATGTTTATTGACTGTCTGCCTTACCCACTAAAAATTAGTGTGAGTTATTGTTTAGCGTGGCAGGTTAGAAGTCATTTGGCCAAGGGTGTGGGTGGCCCCTAGGTGGTCCAAAGCTGTGCTCACCCATCACCCATGCCCTTAACCTCCAACCCCTCAACCTTGCAACTCGGGCTCTTAATGCAAAAGAGGATCAGGCAGGAAAGCATGGATAGATCCCCAATATCTATGCTACCCAATTAAAGGCAATAAAAAAACCCCAGACTCTTAAAACCTAAAGGATAGCACCATTTATTAGATATGACCTGTGCGAAAACCAAAACAATTGGCAACCACAACAAATCTTCTCACTACAAGTGACAGAAAACGTATTTGAGAAGTTTCTCTCAGCTTTTTAATGTTTTTAAAAGTTAACCCCCTTCCCCTGGTAAAATCGAAAAACCACTACAAACAGAAAAATTCTCTGGTTCCTGAAGGACATTTGAACCAAGGATAATAAAGCTATTTATTGTATATATATATATGTATATATATATATATATATATATATATATGTTTTGCCAACATTTTTCTATTTTTGAGATGAAATTTATGTGGGTTATCAAATTGCTTTCTTCAATGAGTAGTTTCAACTTTAAGAGATCAATCTTATTTTGGGGATACTGAGAACCCAGATTTAATGATTGCTGGAGGATTGTATATTACTCACAAGAAGGAAAAAGCAAAGATTAAACCCAAAATTAAATTGTCAGCTATTTTAAGAGGCATTTTCTTTACCTCATGTTATAGTTCCAATCCTAGCTTAGTAGTTCTGATTTGTTAAAATACTGCTCCCCTGGCAGGCGGAACAGCTATTTTAACTCACGGGCTGTAAATCTTTCCTGTGTCTAAGGGATATCATTTCACCAACAAAGAGATATGAGAGAGTTCCCATGGGATTTTAAGCAAGTAAATGATCCCTCCTAATCTCTTTGAAATCAAGGTGCTCTGTTTAGTTTTAAAAATATGCTCAGGATCTGACTGATGCCTCTCACCTAACCACAAGGTCATCTCTAAGGTCGGCCAGAGAGAAAGTTACATGTCAGTGATCTGTCTCTAACAGTACAAGGGGACGTATCTACAAGTGGCAGAGAAAAAAATAGCTGACCTTAGTTAGGTCAGCCAGTGAGGACTTTGCCAGATTTTGGATGGGGCACTTTTTAAACCTGGTTGTAAGAAATAAGCTAAACCCTTCTGTGCTCCCAAGATTCTATAAACATGCCTTTTTAATAAGGTATGGAACGTACTGGAATGATTTGTTTTCCTATCACAGGCTTGATATCCTGCAGAAAGGGAGCCCTGCCTTATTCATCTTCATGTGATCGACGCTGAGCCTATGGTGAGGCTCATAGTGGATGTTTATTTTTTTATTTTTTTAAAGGATTTTATTTATTTATTTGTCAGAGAGAGAGAGAGAGAGAGAGAGAGAACACAGGCAGGGAGAGTAGCAGGCAGAGGGAGAAGTAGGCTCCTGGATGAGCAAGGGGCCCGATGCAAGACTCAAGCCCAGGACCCTGGGATCATGACCTGACCTGAAGGCAGATGCTTAACCCACTGAGCCACCCAGGCGTCCCGCATAGTGGATGTTTAATAACTGCTTTTTATGTGAATGAAGGTTCAATGTCTGCAAAAGGGAGTTTTACTGATTCATGGGGGATTAAAGACAAAAACACTAAAGGCTAGAATTTCCATCTAGCAAAGAGCTTTTGGTTTCATGGGTGATACCTTAGCTTTATATAATGTTTCTGTTTTCAAGAATGTTCACATAGTATAAAATTGGCAGGGCAAGATTATTATTTCCATTCTGCATGTGAAGAAGTTGATCTCTTGCCCAAGTAAATTGTAGCACTAAGATCGGAACTCTAGTCTTCTGACCTCCAACCTTCACCACGGGACCTTCTATGAGGTGAGCCAATTTAGACAACTAATGTGTATATGTCTGGATTCCATGTATCATGTCAATCTTTTATTTCATCCTTTTATCTTCCTTTATCATCTTTAGAGAAAGATAAATGGAAGCCATTGTCTTCCCAAACCTGGCATGTTTGGTTAGCTGGAAGCCGTTCACCTTCCTGGGAATACCTAAAGGAGCTCAGGAAGCTATAGGAGAGGCTACCATGTAATGGTAGCCAGAGGTGCGTAATTGGTAGGTTGTACTTTTCACCTCTTCTCCTGTTTCATAAATAGATCGAACAGCTCTGTGAGTCTGGGTGGTGTTTGGATCTATGTGTAGCCAGGCTCCTGACTACCCAATGTGAGTTAGGTGGAGCTTTTGTCATCAGTGGAATGTGGTTCATAGATTTGTCTTGTTTTTAAGGAGAGTTCTCCTGTGCAATTGCATGACCTCATTACACATTATTAGAATAAAGGAATCCCTGAATTTTTTTAATTGAAGGTTTACTATATTTTTCAGGGCAATGACTATGCCTCATTCATCTTCGTGTTTTCCAAAGTCCAACATTGGTCCTCCCGTACAGTAGGTTATAATTATTTGCTGAACCAATGAGATGCATAGAGGCAACAAAACACCCTACATTAAATTATGTGCATTATTCACTAACACCCCAAATGGCTTTTCTCCCCTCCAACCAATGGATATTATGGGCGATTTGTGCTGATACTGACTTTCAGCCATTGATTCAATTTTCAGAAGAAACACTGTTCTTGTCTGTACATCAGTGTTTGTGTGAGCATTTGAATTTGAACTTTATCACATTCCCATTTATTAAAAAGGATTGGAAAGTGAGACAGTGATGGGAATTACTGAGTGTGCTAACAGTGGCAAACTTTTATCTCAGTGTATTTAATCTGGTCAACTCTGTGGTCAATCGGGAAGAAAAAGAACAGCATGTTTTGTTGAAGATCTGTGCCTAAAAAGTGAGGTGTGATTAGGGGTGCTGTAATATGGGAACTTTTAGAAAACTACCCCACTCTCTTTAGGACATGCAAATGTAGTTCCATTTTTGTTCTTTTCAGTTCACAAACATTTCGGAATATATCGTGTAAGAAGGTAAGTTAACGGGCATTGCTTGGGAAGATGACAAATACTTACTACAAAGATCTTTAAATGGTGTTTATTAAAGAGTAATTTAACAGTTTTCCAAATTATAAAAACAGCTTTTTCTGGGTAGTCTGACTGGGTCTGTACCTCAACTCTGGTCCCAGAGACTACAGTGTGGTTCACACCTAATTGGGAGGGGCCCTGGAAAAAGTTGCTGGAATGTTCTGGCTCAGAGTTACTCATCTGTACCAAGTGGGTGATCTCTGTCCGGGGTTCTTTGCTGCTCTCAGACTGAAGTCCCAGGAAGGCCACTGACTTGTGGGAAAAGCTGACTTTCGAAAGGGATGGGTCAAGGGTGAAGGTGCTCAGGGGCGCGAGACAAACGTTCCCAAGGTTGTTTAAAAATTCAAAAACTGGGTCTGGAGGTGGAAGTCTTTGCAATTTCTTGCTCAAAATGACGACCAGCCGGCAAAATAAAATAAATTACAATGTATATTTTCCTTTTACTTCATGGAAAAGTGGTTAGTGTGTTCCTTTTAATCCTCACACCAAAGAAATTAATTATTCAGGGCGAAGACTTCCCCAGAAAGTGGTGGTTCGTTTTACACGTCGGAAATCGGACTTCTGAGACAACTTTTCTGGATTCCTGGAGTGAAAGAAAATTCAAACAAAGCTCCCTAAACGAAACCTCACTATCTGAGCTTGCTCTCCTCAATTATGTTTCTGTTCACAGCTTGGCTGGCACCGTTTCCAGGGATTAGCAAAAAGTAAATGTTTAATAAGTAACCGCCCAAGTGAATGGGCCTCATTTTTCGGCCTATTTCCGCCCGGGGGACCGAGGAAATCCTGAAAAGCAGGGGCCGCAGCCGAAGCCTCCCCTCGGTCGCCGCGCCGGGGGCGCTCGGGTCTCGGGGACCCCGCCCCTGCCGGCATTCCCTGGGCCTCGGAGGCGCAGGGCGGAGCCGCGGGCCGGCGGGCGCAGGTGGGGGGGGACGGCCCGAGCGAGACGGTGACACCCGGGGCGGGGCGGGGGGGGTGCCGCTGGGAGGCGCGGCGGCTGCACCCGGCCCTGGGAAGAAACCGGCCAGGTGTGGCCTGGGCGCCGGGTGCCAGCGGGGAGGAGACTCGCGCGGCCACCGACCAACACCAACACCCAGCCGCGAGCCAGCTCCTCTGCGCCCTCGCCGCCCTCCGAGCCACAGCTCTTCCTGCCGCTCCCGCTCCCCGCCCGTCGTGGTCCCCGCGCCCAACCTCCGCCCGCCGCGCCGCGCTGCGCTCGCAGCGGCCGGGACGGCCCTCCTGGTGGCCAGGAGCGTCCCCGCCACCCATCTGCGCGCCCGCCCCTGTTTCCGGTGTGTAGATTTTCCTCTTAAATCCTCCACCTTCTCCGAGCCGGCCCGCCCTCGCTTATGCCTCGGCGCTGAGCGGCTCTCTCAGTGCCCGCCGACATGAGCTGCAACGGAGGCTCCCACCCGCGGATCAACACGCTGGGCCGCATGACCCGCGCCGAGTCCGGTCCCGACCTGCGCTACGAGGTGACCTGCGGCGGCGGCGGCGGCGGCGGCGGGGGAGGCGGCGGCGGCGGCGGGGGCACCACCAGCAGGATGTACTACTCCCGGCGCTGCACGGTCACCGACCAGAACTCGGACGGCTACTGGTGGGTACCGGCCGGCGGGCAGGCACCGGGCGCTCGCGGCCGTGGGGGTCTCCCCGAACCCCAGCACGTTGGGAAAGGGAGGGACCGAGCCCTCCTCTGACCTGGGGGAAAAGCCAGGTCCTGAAGGAGGAAAGTGGTTTTGCTGGAGTTCATGGAAGCATTTCCTGCTGGCGCTGGGGTAGGGGCCCGGTGTCCTCCCGCCCCGTACGCTGCTCACACCGGGGTGGGTGGGTGTGTGCGAGCCGGGAGAGGAGCGGTTCCTTCCCTGCAAACGGGTGCTCCGTCCCGCCCTTCTCCCTTCCCGCAAGCCGGGGCAGGAGGCTGGCCAGCGAGGGGTGCAGGAGGACGCGGCGGGCGCGCGGGCCGCGGGGGTCTCTGCCTCCACGACTGCCCCCTGCGCGGCCGGGCCCGGCTGCCATCCCCTTTGTCCCTGCCGGCAGGTGGGAGGTCGGGCGGGGCTGCGACATCAAAACCCAACCTAACCAAGTGTAACCGAGAGTAGAACAGCAGTAAAGGAGCGGGGACGCCGGCCTGTCCTGTAGCCAGGGTTCGGATTCGGGGCTCCTCCACCTCTCACGGCTTATCCCAAATGCCTGGTCACCCCGAGATCACCCCCCTCGGCACAGGCTGCGCTTGGGGCGGCGCGGGGTCCGGTCCCGAGAAGACCCCGCCTCGGTCTCCCCTGCTACCCAAACTGAGCTTCCCGGCAGGGGCAGCCGGCCCGCCCCAGGTCCGAGCTCCGCCGGGACGCGCCTGTCCCCCTTGCTCCGCTGCGCCGCAGCCCCCGCCGGCGAGCGTACCCGTGGCCCTGCGCCTTTGCCCTTGGTTTCCTCTTTTCTTTTTTTTTGTTAAGGTTTTATTTATTTTTTAACAGCGAGAGACACAGTGAGAGAGGGAACACAAGCAGGGGGAGTGGGAGAGGGAGAAGCAGGCTTCCCGCCGAGCAGGGAGCCCGATGCGGGGCTCGATCCTAGGACCCTGGGATCATGACTTGAGCTGAAGGCAGACGCTTAACAACTGAGCCACCCAGGTGCCCCCTTGGTTTCCTCTTTTTAAAAAAGCCCCGGAGGAAGGACCTCAGTGTATTATTGGTAGCGGAGTGAGGGCGCAGGGTCTGCGAGTGGGAGCGGGGGACATGTGGCGGGGAGGGCGCTGCTTCTTATCCGCGCCAGCCCGCGATGCTGGGGGCCTGTCCCGGTCAAGGACCCCCCGGGATGTGGGCAGGGTCTGCTCCTCAGAATCGTCGCGGAAACTGATCGCGGGGGTCATTTGGGAGGATGAGGGAAGATAATGAGGCTGCATGTACTCGGTCCCCACAGCTGGACGCGGGGATGCCCACGAGAGCCGTGAGAATTTTGCGGTCCACGCCCTCCCCGCCCCCCTGCAAGCCCTTCCCTAGGAGGGCTTTTGGAAAACTGGCCTGCGTTCCAGAGAATTATTTACCCTGCCTTGTGGCCTTAGGCTGGGGAGGAGCTACCTGAATACACTCCGGGAATTTTTTGTTTTACCAGCAGTTTTGAAGGCAGGGACTACTCGAGTTGGGACCTGTTTTCTGCTTCGGTTTATTTGCATTTAATCCCCCCCCTCCCGAGCATCTTGACAATTGAGTTCCTCTTTTTGAGTTAGCGAAGAATTGTCTCAATCTTGGAGCTCTTGTTTTCTGAACATAATGCACCCCGGGGATTTCCAGGAGAAATGTGCCAAGTACTAGGAAAAATGGGGAGAAAGTTATGCCAGTTATCACTTTGGTTTTTAAGTTTGTTCTAAAACTTGGCCAACCGATTAAATCTGACACTTTACCTTTCCCTCCCAGTCTCCCTGTATTTGGGCAGCACGTTCTTTTAATCCACACATTTATAGTCAAGTCAGAATTTTGCAAGGATTCTTGAGCAGCAATTTTTTTTCCCCTGGTATTTTATGAACCAAGTATTTCATTTTGATTTTGTATTTTTTTAATAAAAATATGATTCTGTTCATCTAGAGTCCTTATTTTTTTAATTGATAATAAACATTACTGTTAATGGAATATTTCACTCCCTCGGCCTCCTGTAGAGGCAAATTTGTACTGAATTAATATATCGGCTAATGAACTGCCTAAAGATCCATGGTTTATAAGGCTTCTTCACGGAAACACTAAATTTCGAGGAGGCTCAATGTTTTTCCATAGTATTATTTCTTGTGTTCTGTTTTTCCAACCTAAAAGCTGTTTATAAATATGTCAAATTTTACGTCTCTTTGGGAAGGGAAAACAGACTGAAGTTTTGAATTACCTAATTTGGGGCACGGGTGTTTCTTTCTGCGCTTTGATGTTGATCCGCTGGGGCAGCGGGGCGTCTTGCTTGGGGGCTGGAGTCAGCGTGGGGCCCTTCTTTCTGGATCCAGTAATGGGGATTCTCCCAGCACGTCTGGCCAGCCAGTGGTGCGGCTGACCCTTCTGGAATTAGAGAATTAGCACACACACAAAAATTGCCCGCAACTGCTGACTTGTGCATCTTAAAAATAACGATGACTGACTGAAGAGAGATGGGGCTTGCCCGCACACCTTTTTTTCTGGTGTTTTTAAATGGTTTTGAGCGGAGGGATTTGTTGTCCCAGAGCATGTACTTCGTAGTAAGTAGGATGCCATCTCTGACCCGACTGCCCTCTGCCAAATGAAGGAGGATTAAGAATTTAATAAGTGCTTTTCTGACCCCAAGTTTTTCCAAATAAAGGGTTTTGTTTCTTTTTGAGGCACGAAAACTGGCATGAAAACTGTTGGTTGAATTTAAGCTTGTTTATTTAAAAAACTGCCGCTTTATTGTCTGAGTGATTTTTTAAAAAAATAATCGGGATTTTAAATAAGCGGTGTTTGTATTTAATCTTTCCCTAAATAAACTAATTTGAATGTGTGAAAAGCCCAAATCTTATTTTTAAGATGAATTTAAAACATCTTCCTGTGTCTGTGCTTTATATTAACAACACTTGTCAGTTCTTAAGACAGTATTTTATCTCGTTTGCAGTTCTCCCGCCTTCCCTGCCCACCCATCTTCTGTGTTTTCTTTATTGTAGTCTGAATGGAATCACAACTACTTTCATTTCTTTTGCTTTACTTAGTATTTCAAAGTTTGGTAAAAGTCATGTGCTTGATGATGTAAGAGGTATATTTTTGAAATTTAAACTGTGAATTTTGCTTGTATAGGATGTTATATTAATAGGGCTTTCAATTGAGGCAGAACTACCACAGCCTTGTTCCTGTGGTTAAAAGAAATGACAAATCTGTAGTGAAATTTGGTGGCCAAGTGACGAAGTCCCACAGTTGGCTCTTTCACTGATCAAAGTGTGGATATTGTTGGAGGATTAAGAGCCAAATATAGTCAGTAAGCTGCAGAAATATGTGGTTATAAAGTTAATGCTTACTTTTCTCTAGAACTTGTGATTTCAGAGCCAAAATACGTGTGATCTCTATTTGATACTAAAGTTCGTTTTAAACCATCTTTTAAAAAGAAGCCTCTTTCTTAGCAAGAGATACATGGGTCTATTTGCTTTGAAGTTTGGCGCTGGGGAGAGTGCAAAAGTGTACAGAAGCCCCGTTCTTCCACTTTGGAGATGAGTAGAGTAAGACTTGCCCTAAATCCCCGAGTCCACTCATGGCTAAGTTGGCACGAGAACGCAGGGCGGCTCACCTCTGCCCTCCTGTCAGCCTGTGCCCTTAGACCATGGACCTTTTGTAGTAGACTGGACGTTCCTGTACTTAAACAATGAAAGTATCTCAATTCTATTCATTCATTCATTCATTCATTCATTCATGCAGCAAATGAGGAATATGTGCTGTGTGTTAGGCATCAAGGAGAGTCAAAGGTGAAAATACAAAGACTTCTTGAAAGGACCATAGCTCTTTAAAGGAAAATAAGCACCATGATAGAAAAGGATAACAGGAGGGTATCAATGACTTCAAGGCTTCTTAAATATAACATCTGTGGTGGAGGCATAGTGAGATTTTCTAAAGAAAGTGGTGCTGAATTAGACTTGGGAGTGTTTTGGTTGGTCAAGATGGGTGGGCAGAGAGCATTCCAGGGGGAGAGAAGAGCAGGAGAGAAGTCTGGGAGGTGAAAAACCCAGAGCATATTCAAGGCCTGTAGAGCGGTCTCCTGTCTGAGTGGGAAACGGTAAGACGTCAGGAGGAAGGGCAGGTTGGGGCCAGAAGCTGGGACACCTTGACTCCGTGGTGGGCAGTGTGGATAGGCAGAGGGGAGCCATTGCGGATTTCACCACAGCAAGGGATAGTGTCCTCCATTGCAGGAGCAGGGAAATAAGGCTGTTCCTAGTGAGCTGTAGGACTGTTCCTGTGGCAGCCGCGTGCAGGTGCGGAGGGAGATGCGAAGCCATCAGACATGAAGGAGAGAGGTGATGAGTCTGCCTGAGGGTGGTGGCCTGGCCGAGGGACAGGAAAGTGGTTGTGGCCAGATGGAATGGCAGCTGGCCTTGAGAGCTGGAGGAGGGAGGCCAGGGAGAGTCTGAGAAAACAGGCTTGGAGTCGGGTGACTCACGGCAGGGATCTTCTAGATATTTTTCTGGGAAGTGATTGCAAAGTAAGATTCAGTTTAGCTTAATCTAGGGCAGATAACACTTACATGGTTATTAACTTTGAGTAAGTTCCCTCTTTTATAAAAATATCAGATCAGTGGTTAATAATAGTTACCATTACCTGACAAACACCTGTGATGTGCCAGGTATCTTATGCACGTTATCTCAAGCTTCGCATTTTACAGATAGCAAACTGAGGTTAAAGTAGTGACTTTATGACTTGGCCTGGGTCACACGGGTTAGTGGTTGAGCTACATTTGAATCCAAAATACTACAGTGGATCAAGAAAAGATCAAACCTTGGCTATCAGAATTCATCTTTTGTACTTGTAAATTCGATCTAAAACTCTTTTTTTAATCTGTTGCATTCCTGTGAAATATTTATTTCATAACCATTGTATTCTTTTGTTATTAATCCAGTAGGGTGTCCATCTGCTT